GTCGGAAGCGCTGCAGTGAGGAGATGAAATGCCTTCGAAATTTTAATGTAAAATTTTATTTACAAAGTCTTCAAAGTTCTTTTTGACTTTTACATAGTTCATCACGATAATATTTTCTTTTATTATGCATAATAACTAACTATATATATATATCTATTTTACTTGAATTTTTCAACGAGTTGAGTAAATATAGCATGACATATTTATTTTTTGATTAGATAAGAATTATCTAGTTTTGTCATGGAAAGCGACTTTTTATAAAGAAGTAATTATTGCATTCAACTTCTGCCCTTCCTATTTCTTGTTGTTTCTTCGAACCGTTGGCATTTTACATTTTGCAAATGCTTGCAACAGACTACACTGAACAAATGCTATTTTATTTTGAATTAAATGAACTCTTCTAAATTACTTTTGTTGTTCTTTGCTTATTTTTTTTATATCTCCATAACATGACACCTTTAGTTGATTTCGTGATGTGAACTAGCAAGTCTTTGTAATGACCATAATCAAATCACTTCAATTGTTTATGACTTTATCGCTTTCAATCAAAGATTACTGATCAGCAAGTATAGTGTAATTCGAGATAATTTAACCTCAAAACTGTTTTACAGAGATGGGTAAGGTACATGTTATACTAGTTGCCCTACATCATCACCAGCCCTTTTACGTCCCCATTGCAGGGGCTCAGGCCTTCCTTATGGATGGTTAAGGAGGATGGGCCACGACCCTCCACGCCGGCCCAATGCGGATTGGAGGGTACTAACGACTGCAAATGCAGCCGGGACCACCGGCTTAACGTGCCTTCCGAAGCACGGAGTAGCTCGAGATAATAATTTTTTGGTCACCCATCCCGTGACCGACCCTTGCGAAAGATGCTTAACAACTACGATCGCGGACCGCGGCGCTTATCCACTACGCCACCGAGCTACTCAATTGCCTTACAATGAAATGAAATAAACTTAGAATGGAGATATATAACATACGAATAAATTTAGATAGACTCGAACAGGGTAGAACGGCTATGTTATTTTATTCTCACACATATGTAATAACCATATCTTATGAAAATCCTATGGAATTGAAATATCAAAATGGGTTATTAAGAAATCCGTTACCACAATAATAGTTTCTTGTACTGTTAGCAGGAAATAATCGACACTTACTATCTGGTTCAGATCATTAAGTGTGCACAAGGCGTAAGTTATAAGTGCGGACAGCGATTTTATAGTATTTCCCTATAGATAGTAAGCACTTAGCGAAAATACTATTTCCTGAATTTAATGCCTTAACATAACGATGGTGCTAACCAAGGAGTTTATATTATTTGAATTACTCGGTGCTAACAATTATCAACTGTTTTTATCCACATAATATTATCATTAATACAGTATAAGCTATTACAATAAACCCAAATATGGTGGACCTGTATGATCTTCGTTTGCAGACTTAATTCTGTTAATGTCCCAATCTACACATAGTTTTAAACAAAATCTCTTCAGTAAACTTTATCAATATAAACGGTACTTCAAAAGGAAGGTTCAATTTGTAATAGAGAACCATGCGTTCGAAACCATTAACGGAAACTGATTTATAATGAATATTTATAGTAACCTTTTTTTAAAAAAACTACTGCATCCACCCAGTAGAGATGCCGACAAATTTTTGTTTATTTGGACGACTGGTAGTTGTTGAAAGATATATAAAAACATTTTTTTTATTTTTATCTTAATCATAAATAACGGTGATACATTGAGTTAAAAAATCCCATGACGTCACGCTTTGGTACATTTTCTATAAACCTGTGACGTAGCGAGCCTCCGCTCTTCAACTCTAATGCCATTTGTTGTTAAATTGAAGTAAAAAAAATACATATTTTCAAATTTATTTTTGATTCAATCATTGAAAAAAATATTTATCATTGTACTTCTTCCTTAATCACGTTGGTTAGTCAAACTTTCCTAACAGCTACCTATTAAATTTATTTTTATAAAAAAAATATTGTGGCAAGTTGCAATGTGCCTAAAGTAAAGCAAAGATATCGGCTATCGTATCATATCCCAAATGACAATATATTTAACTTGCAGCTGTTTTTTAAACAAATTTAATGTATTTTAATTTTTATTTAATCAAATTACCAAGAGAACCCTAATTCTCGAAAATAGAATCTACGTGAGAATGTTATTTGCATTTGTACATGTAACAGCGAAAGTGAGTTGTATGAGTTTAACGGCAACTACTGTTGTAATGCCGCCATTAAAACTTAAATGAGTATTTTAAATGGTTAATATTTTAATCATTTTGTAAAAAACAAATTATAATAGCCGTGGGAAATATTTGATTAAAGTATCTTGTTTTTGTTTTCAAATGCAATATGTGTGAGTTTTTAAAGTTATTATTTGGTGTTTTGATGCTAAGTGTACACTTACTTACTTGGAAAGGTAAAAGATATGTTCTATTAACTTCTCACCCTGCTGTAGAACGACAAAGTATTCCGGTTGTTTCATCTATTGTTCCTGAAAGATATCCCTCGGGAGAAATACATATCCAAGTAGTTATATTATACTATCCAAACTGTTTATTGTTATAATCATTATCAGTGCTATTAATAAACAAGGTTTAGCGCCAGATTATATTTACGCTATAATTGCAATTTTAATATTAGTACAAATTCATATTATACAGATAATAACCAAACCTACTACCTTCTAGAAATAAATATTCTCCCGTAAAACTTTGTACTAGGTCAACCTTTGCTAAGTCTCTGTTTAATTATATGAATTTTGATTAATACTTAGTGCAGTCCCAGCGTAAATTTACTTAAAGCTAAAGCTTGTCTATTAATACACTGTTCAAGAGTCGCGATCGTTGTTGTTATGCAACTTCCGCAAGGGTCGGTCACGGGGCGGGTTACCAAAAAACTAGAGACTGAATATAGAGACGGTACTATCCGTTCGAATTACATGACACCTGAAGGCGCATTCTATTTATACGAAATCGAAATTTCGTCTATTTTCAAAATGGTAAAACATATTTTATATATGTATAGTTATGAGGCAACAGAGGTAGGACCTGACAATGCCTCTGATGCACAGATAAATCTTCACGGATGTGATGTGATTTTAACAAAATTATAAGAACGATTCGAATTTTTCCAAATTTTCGTTTGAGTACAAATAGAACAGGGCCTCTGGTGTCATGTTAATTCATATGAATTAAACTGAATTTTACGTTCAACTAAGTTCAATTTGTACTGATCGAATGTTTTGTCTTATCAGACAGGTACGTAATTGGACTTGACTTTTCTCCTACACGTTGAAAGTAAACTGTGTAGGTAAGCGATCGATATGCCAATAATAATATAGTACTTATGCGTTATGGTGATTGGTTCACGTGTTGCTTAGAGTGGTCGATTAAAGGTTTAGTTTCCCCGTAATGGTAATGACACTTTCTAAATGAAACTAGAATAATCCATCGAGCTTACATGGCTAATGGGCCATTCTTATTTTATTTTTTTCTTTTAAGTTTTTGTTGCACAAATCATCAAAACATTCTTGACACAATTTTGAATAAAAACAACCAAATATATAGATATTATTACAAATATATACTATAGAAAGTTATCTTCATGTTTGTAGAGTTAACGGCACAGCAGGTTATACAAATCTGTCAATTTTCTCGTATTTCAAAATTTAATTCTTTATTGACAGAGTTTACAATAAATCTGCATTAATTCGACATATTGTAGTAACCTGTCGGGCAGCCATGTGAACAAAGACAATTTGCGATTGACTCAAAATATATTTTTCTCATATAAATGAACCACTTTACATTTTTCATGTTAAGGCATGAATAAAATTATACAATTACAATGTAAAAAATAATTCATTAATTTTATTGAAAGATATTAAAAGAATTATAATGCTCTTTTAATTTAGTAAACTAATATTTAAAAAAAATGTATAAGTACAGATTGATTGGCTGTTCTTTTTGAAATAAATTAGTTCTGATGATTCCTATGATATATTTGAGATCATAAATAATTCCGTTTTGTTGCATTACGAGACAGATTGATTATTAAATAATTATTAAAAGGTACACCTTTTTCACATATCTATGGGTAAATCTGAACTTTAATGAACTTATGGCGCAAAATTTGCGTCTATATAATACATAGTGGAGCACTTTGATGACTTTATTACGAGATGCATCCTGGTTATTATAAAATTGTTTACAACAAAGTGCACTTACACATCTTTCCCTCTGTATTGTCATAAACTTTGATTATCAACGCCATTTGCCGTAATCCACATTTTTATTGCAACATCACGGCGAAGTAATGGGATTCATTTTAATAATGCAACTATATTTTCTGTTGCACTAATAAAAGTTGAGTACTGACAACCTTCGTTGCCGTGTAGCTTCAAGTTTCAAAATAAAGTCACTAAGGTCCTGGGTCCGGTTTCTGCTAGGTGAAATATAATCTAGCTAAAATCGGACCCAGGACTTTAGATGTGGCTTTATTTTTCAAAATTTGTTGGAACTCTGCCACTCGGCCGGACTAACATGGTGGCGAGCGGCCTCGTATTCTTTTACTTTCAGTGTTGCCAACAATGACCAATTTTTCTAGATTGTCACCTCTTTTCCTCTATAAGTCGTTAATCATCTATAGGTCAGTATAATGTCACATATGTTTATACATAATACAAAATTAATATCTTAGTCAGATACTACAATATAAAAATGATGGGCTACTATAGTCTGAATATTTCAGAAGAAATAACTTCAGATGTTACAGTGGTTTTTTCAACTGCATACATTTCTATCTCATAAAAAAGGTCTATCGATATCCAAAATCAATATTTACTGGCGAAAAACGTTATGAATTTGTTTTTACATGTTATCTGCAGTCGTAATGATTTCATTGCTACATTAAACAAAACGACAAGTCTGTTCGCTTCGAATGCAGTACACAGAATGAACGCGTGATTCAAAAATCAAATATGGGGAGCGGACTCAGTAGCGCCACTAGCCGGAAGTGGTCGCAGCGTAAAGAGACTCCACCTCACGCAGAATCATCACGGGTGCTATTCCTGTTGTACCTCATTCACAGGACTTGGAATGTGGTAGTTGAGCACGTCGACTCAAAAAGTGCCAGGTGAATAAAATTACATGTTTTTTGTTGGAATATAAAATCAAGATTGTGAATGCACTCTGTTTTTCCAAAACATAAGTTTCGTTTTATTCGTAACGCTAATATGGCTCTATGGTAGGAGCTGAAACTATCTCTGATATAAAGATAATCGTATGTTTAAAAAACTTCAGTCTCATAAGAAATTTACATTTCGCTTATAATGAGATGAGTAGGAATACAATAAAATTGTTTGCATTGCAGTACCATCTTGTATATAGATTACACTTAAACAATTCCTTCAGGATATTTTTGCGCTTCGTGAATTATTTCATGGATACAATGTAAGGTGACCAGTTAAAACTATTTTGTTAATATTATTAACATAAATTAGAGATAGTATCGGACTGAAGATGGAACCCTGTGGTATTCCGTATGTGATATCTTTGGGAGAGCTTACGAATATAGGAATTTTAACTACCTGACACCTCTTTTGCAAATATGATTTAATATATTTAGAGCTGTGGAATGTATACTTATATCTTCTAATTTTATATCGATAAATACACGAAAAGCAATACATTTTTTGTCAATATGAGATTTTATTTTCGTATTACGTCTATAGTAGCCGCGAGTGAACTTGGATTCGACCGAAAGTCAAATGTTGGTGAGTTAATAGGTTTGTCTCAGATCGAATGTTATGCTGATTATACAAAATTCTCTTAAATATGACGGGCAAAACCAATATCGGCCTGTCATTTCCCGGGTCAGTTTTAATTCCAGATTTATAAGTATATGGAACCGACTTTGGCTACCTTGAGTGAATCATGGAAGATTCTTCACTTATATGATTTTAACAAAATTATAAGAATAAATCGAAATTTCCAGATCTTTCATTCGTAGATACCCTTCGCCCACTAATTTCATCACCTTATTAATGTCACCAATGCTATTATCACAATTAACGTTAGTCAAGTGCAGTTTGAGGAGCTCGAGAGTTTGATATAGTTGTCAAGCAACTTTCACAAAGGTCGGTTGTAGGATGGGTGACCAAAAAATTAATCCCGCGAACATGTATTTCGGAAGGCACTTTAAACCGTTGGTCCTATTTGGATCTAGAGTCGTTAAAACCTACCGATACGTACTGGGCCTGGGTGGTGGATCAAGGCCCAGAATCCTTTGATTCGTTACTATCCATAGGGAAGTCATAAGCCCCAGCAATGAGGCTATTAATAATCTGGTAATAAAATGCACTTTGATGGTTATTAATAATACAGATACATCCAATACCAAACTACGTCTACATATCATTATTAAATATGTCAACAGCAGAATGTAAATCAACACCGCCAGTACAGTTTATTACGTTTTGTGTGTCACTATTTTTATATATAGCATGTAACTACACAATATTACCAGCTTCAGTGTATTTTAACCACCTTTATGAAGTTTTCCGATTCGAAAAAGGTTTAAGATCATTAAAGTTTACTATTTTCCCACGACTTCGCCTGCGTATATTATAGTCTATAGAAACTGCGTATGATGGAGCTTCCTGTAAGTGAATAAATTCTCATGATCCGATCAGCATTTCCGGAGATTTTGTGGGTAGGTCCCCACCAGGTGGACCGAAATCCGCTAACCGCTGGCAGGACCGATCTACGGGGGAGGTCTATGCTTAGCAGTCGGCATACGGCTGATGATAATTAATTATGAAATAACAAGAAAAACCTTAATCCACCTCCAAGCTAAAGTTCTTAGATTTTTTTGCATTAAGAATATTTAATAGACCAATTGAAATAACACAATGATATTTTTTTACATGCGGTTATCACACAACATTGCAGATGGCGTGGATCTCACACTGTTCCCAGTTCTGGGGAAGGCCTTGGTGGACGGTACGACTCCGTCAGTCTAGCGGACTCAGACCTAGGATCGTGCTACTCAAACTGCAGTTGCAGCTACTGCCGTTTGAGAGAGTGCGCCCAGGATTGTGTCAGGTAAGATAGTTCATGTTATCTACTATGCAATATTCGTCAGACAAAAAGAACACAGTGGCATAAAAGAAATGAAAATTAAAGTCTCAAACGCAGAGTTCTTTCAATATGAATAGATTAACTTGCCTCTACATACTGATAATTTACAAAAAGCATTTATCTCGTCTCTCATAGTTACTTCTGCGTAAAAGTAAGGAATGTTATTATTGCGAACGTCTCTGTCCGCGAGTTTTTCCCCACCAGGTTAGTTGAATAATGAAATCCTGTAGATACAAGTATCAAAATAAGACATACTTATCATTGAATAAGAAATTAGCAGGAGATGTTATGTAAAGAAATATTCTGTACCGAATCTTAGCTAGATTATAGACATAGATGTAGTCCAGGTAAATGAAAAATCTGCCATTTAAGATTCAGAATCGCCACATTATACTATGTCATGTCCATCTATTTTTATTGTTTGTCGTGATATGCCTGAGCAATAACAATAAATGTTATGATAAAACGAAAATACTCTTTAATAATTACGTGTCTATATATTATTGATATAAAATTGTCTGTTTGCTGACTGATAGACAAATTTATATACTGATAATGGAAGCTAAATAATAGAGCCCAGTTATAATGATTGACTACAAACTCTTCAGAAAAGATTTCTCCGAATTCAACTTCCGTGTCATATTTAACAAATAAACGTTGAAGAAAATATATCACTCAGACTCGTAACCAAAATTAAGTTGTTTGATTTGAAAATTTAAAAGTTTAAAAAACCAATATTTAAAAAAGAGAGTGCTATTTGAATTTGAAATTAAACTGTTTAATAGTGACGCCGTAACATCCTAACTTCATACTTGTATATTCAAAACAATCTTCTCTCATTTCAGGTAAGATCTGCTGATTCAACACAACAAATGTGGACTACTCAATAAGCTTCAAGCAATTAGATCAAAACTATCTGATTACGACATTCATGTCTGAAGGAATTAGATTCGATTCTTAGGATTCAATAATTAGATTTACAAATAAGTTGCAAAAGTCGTAATGAAGTAGTTTCGACTTATAGCAGCTATTAGTCGTCTAATCTATTAACAAAATATTATTTATTCAAATTTACTTACTGAAAGCAACACATTGTTGAAGATTTTTGCCTACCGTAAGGCAAAGATTAATTTTGACTGACAAGAAAAAAACTCTAGAAACTTCCAGTAACGACATACACCTTAAGATGATCATTATTAAGTTCATGTCAATGTCAGCAAAACCAATTATCTGAAACAATTACACAAAAGAAAAACAGTGAGCTTATAAGAACAAAGCAAAGGCTAATAAAGTCCATGCATTAATGTGCAAAACTTTTTGACATCTCTTAATAAGGTTCCAAGGCGCCAATATTTTTTCGCTCTGATCATTCTCAATTTGATCATCTGGCAGCTGTCATAATGATTGATACGAAGAGTATCAAATGAACTTCCGTGTTACCAAATAGAACCCAAAGTTTTAATATTATTATCAATGTTGAGAAAGCTTTGAACTTTTATTAAGAAGTTTAAGTTAATATGCTCCAAAGTAGGTACATACTATATTAAGGCTATCAAAAGTATGATGTCATGTATCTTGATTTGAATCTAATATGATGCTTGTTCATATTTTGAATAGTCTAGGAGGTGGTGACAAAAATGTGCAATGGTTTTCTAAAGATTGATAATTCAGTATATGGAAGTAAGTACTGAGAGTAAACATCACTCAGAACTCAGAAGTGGGGGGCAGGTGTCGAAAGACCTATAGAGCTGAACTTTGCAACAATTTCTGAGAAGTACTGAGTTTTCGCGTTCCAATACTGTGTGGTCTGATTATTATAATCTCAACTTCATCAATATGAAAAATCTCGGGGTACCTTGGACTGGTGGATTTTAAAGCATTTTTCATTCAGAATATTTACCAGCACAGCATGATTATATAATTTACTTATATTAATTAAGTACTTCATTATTTTGCCCTTATTTGTCACGAACTCTTCATCTTATAATACTAGGATGTTATTATCTAGTATAAATAAGTGAAATATTGTCTTATGCTGATTTATTAGAAATAGTTTTTTTTTTATTCATTTCATTAATCAAAATAACTTAGGCAACTTCCAAATTTTGTTGGAGTTCCCTTGTTGGAGTAGAAGCCTTACATGGAATCGAATCTAATAGAGATAAAGGGTACCGACATAGGCCCATAGTAACTTGCAGGGTATTATCGACTGCAGATCCCTTCTAAATCACGGGAGGCACTTTGAGGTATTAAACAGCAAAAATAATGAGAGCAAAGATCATAATTCTATTGAAAATACATGTTTGCGAGAACAGAGATATAATTCAAAACTGTTAAATGTACTAAAAAAAATAACACTTGCGTTTTTCATTCATATTTTTCACACAAAATACAGAGTTTGATTTTGAATAAATATGTATTTTACTGAGATGGCATCATTATTCATTCGGATATTTATTTTATAATTAAATTTAACTTACTACAAAACCTACGTTAAAATTCTTGATTTATAATTTAGTTTCTTTTTGAAAACTAGGTCTTAGCCAACTTAGTTAAATTTAATGACTGTCAGTTCTGTTATACAAAAAACAGTAAGTGAAACTCTTTAAATTAATATATCTTAAATTATTTTAATATTATTAAGGAGAGTCCACGCTATTTATTCAACCAGTGAGATTAAAATTTTTATATAGACAAAATTTAAGAACTTATTTTAATACAATGTAAACATAATTTCGCTAGCGAACATCAGCAAAAGAGCATACACCAAAGCTATCGCGAGATTAGCTCTTTGTACAAATACTAGTTTGATCTAATAGTAAAGATAAAAACAGTATGTTAAATTTCACTTGGTGATTGTAAATCTACATAATGATTGGACATATTTCCATCCTTTCCAATTAACATTGCAATTCAGTAAATTGTTAAAATATTAATTTGTTCTTGCAAATTCTGTTGCTTGTAACTCAACATCGGCACTATACCAAAAAAAACAATATACCAGATTAATAATCTACCAGACAGATAGATAAAAAAATAAGAATGATTAAATAAGTATGATTCTATTAGAGTTTCAACTTTGCGGTTGTCATTCTTCAAGCACAGTGCCTTATGACGCATGCAGCTTAGGGTTTATACCTGTGATTTTTTCTCATACAGCTCGTAACCCCAATTCCCTTCATTAGTTCTCAAGATGGACGGAGAACTATGGAACTAGTTTCGTTGTATGCACTGTGGTTGCTAAGAAATGCGTCAGAGGAGAGCTAATGTAGACATAGCTTATAAGACGAGAAGAGCTACAATGAGTTTAAATAGAGAGAGTGAGTGTGTTGTTTTAAGCTTTCATGATCATTTAAATTAGAATGTTAGTTTATCGCGGGATCGCTACTATGCACCACATGGTACAAAAACAATTTTGTTGAGTTCCCGGTATTTCGGTGCTGTTGCAAGCGCAATAATCATGCGGCAACTAAACTTATTGCGAGTTACTCGTTATGTTTTTGAATATTGCTTTTTTTCATATAACCCGGTCAGGACTTTTATAAGGTTAAAAAAAATAGAAGTAGAGCTAGAAATTTTTGACCATATAGTAACAATTTTGACTCTTCAACATCTAATAATAACGCTTACTCTATGGAAAAAAGCTTACTCTATGCTGAAAATAAGAAATGCGATTTATTACACTGCATGACTAGTTTACTATGGCAGAGGTACCGCAACGTTCTTTCGAATAGAATGAACTCGAAAACACTGGGGAGTTTGAATTTGGAATATCAAATGAATATTTGTGGTAGCAAATTACTAAACTCACTTCTGTTAGATTAAAACTGACAAATCCGAATACTAACCAATATCGGCTTGTGACATAAACTATTATAAGATTATAGACGGTTGAGTTTGTTGTCGTAATTATATCTAAACCTTTTGAAAAGGTTTAGATTTGGTACTTTACCGGTGCTGTCCGGGGTGCCTCAGGGCTTGCACTTAGGCCCGCTCCTCTTCACAATCATAAACGACATAGATAATATTCTTTGTTCTACACATCATTTATCTATTATAAAACTGCACAGAATTGTAAAAACTGATGAAGTTTGCAAAAAAATATAAGACTATCTGAAAGCACTCTCTAGATATTGTTCCGAGAATCAACACTTTATAAACGCAGATAAGTGTTGTATAATCTTTTACAAGAAGAAAGAAACCACTTAATTACGAATACAGTCTCGGCCAGGATATTCTAAAACGATTGAAGTATTATTATATTTAATAAATTTGCATTCACAATGTTATACTGAACAATATTCTTAAAAAAGCATATTAAAGATTTGGAAATTGTTATAGACAATAATAATGCATTATCTTTCAATTCACAGATATAAACAATTAAGAAACGTGCCTTAATAACTTAGGTTTCATTAATAGAGTAACTAAACCCTTCAAAGACACTAAAACTTTCAAAATACTTAAGTCCTCTTACGTTTGATTTAAAATGAATTTTGGCTGTCTTATAAAGTTCATTTCGATGTTAAATTTCTGTCTAAATATACAAAAACGTTATATTGAACCCATCTCAGACTTCTTAGCCTTGGCGATAAGCGCAAACAATTTGATTTAGTGTCTTTATATAAATTTTTAACCGTACCATAGATTAATTATTATGTCAATTCAACTTTAAAATGAAAAGATGTATACTAATTTGCACAAATCGTGATATTTATAATTTTGTGCCGCCAGCCCTTCACAAAAACTATATCAAAAATTGCTTCCTAGCTCACTTATTGGATCTAATCAATAAAAAATTCAAAGATGTTTATCTTTTTAATATTTTCTTAATAGCATAAAGCGAGTAATGTTGTTAAAAAATCATGCAGCTGAATAAAATGTTATTACATTTATGAATCAGATGAAGAAAATAAGGACCTTTTTGATGGTCGATGGAAAGGACATTGTAATAGTTATAAGATTTAT